CTACTACGCCAGTAAAAAGAATCGGGTGACGACATCTTCGAGCTCCTTAGGAGCCGCAAGGAAAAGAGACGATTTCCGAACACGTCACTCTATCGAGTGAATTGAGCCACTGATCTTCGCGAAATACCTAGGTATTAACCATCCTCTTCATGTCAATTCTCGCCAGTCACAACATGAGACGCCTTGACCGGCAAGCCGTGTCTGTAAGCTAGAGGCATTGGTGCCAAACGAACTAAAAGAAGTCAGAGTGAGTAGCCGCAAGAACATCTCAGCAATTGACGTCCATGATGTGGCTGCGCTAGGCACAATGCGTGGAGTCACGGAACTCAATATGACCGAAGACCCCTCTCATATACTGTTGGGCAAAGAAGTAAGCACTAGGTTATTATTTATGATGTTGACGAAGCCATTAACAACCCGAACCTACAAGTCCTGATCAGGCCGGCTTCAGAAGATACCAGTATTACAAGTATATGTCGTATCCGAACGTCATGATGCGTAAGGATTATATTTAGGAGTCAATCACTGCCATCACACGTCAAAGTGGGCCACTTCCGACACGCAGTTCACCCTTTTGTACCGAAACCACTCCAGTATTTGCAATGCATGAAGTTAGGTCACGTAAGTGGTGTGGGAACGAACTCTACCGTCTGTTACCAATGCAACAGGCACCACAACATGGACACGTGCCAGGCCACAATACTGAAATGCTCAAATTGCAATAGGACACATGATGCCTGTTCGAAGTATTGTCCAGTTATTCGAAGGAAGCTATCAATAATAAAGAAAAGACTAGATATTTCATCTTACATCGAGAAGCCGCTGAATTCATTACGCGATGACGGTTTTGTCGCCGGCACTGCACCAAAGCCTCTAAAACCACGTTGCCTCGCGAAGCACGTCCAAAACCACCTCCACCTTTCCCACTCAGGGCAAGCACTCTCTGTTCCAAGAGCAAAGAGGCCTCTACTAGCAGTGAAGCTGACGCTTTGTTTCTACAACAAAGTACGACTCTAGATGTGTCTAAAGACAGTGACGCCTCTACCAGCAATGCCCTTGGCGCTTGGCCCAAACTGTCAAAGATACATGCACCTGATGAGTGGCATCAGACTTCGACAGTTAGGGACACTTCGTCGGTACTTCATAACCTGACGGACGAAGCGGGCAAGTGATCGGCATGGTCAGCACCCAAGTCCATGCCATTCGCCTGCTGCTGAGCAGGACGCAGACGCCGACAGCTCGAAGTGTGTTGCAACTGCTTGACACCATCACTCCAGCTCTCTTAAGCTTTCAGAAGTCTGCTGCTTGAGAACGCAAGCGGTACCACTATTGCTTCATCATCTACAAAATTTTGGGTGCATGACACCACGCATACAAGTTGCTTAATGCCACAAGTGCGCTGCTCTGACTAAGCCACGGGAGTGACTCACTGTCTGTGATGTTAAGCACATAACTGCCGTTACATCGACGGCAGCAATGACTTTTCTCTCCTTCTATATCTCTAACTTTTATTCCCCTTCTCCAGTGCAAGGTAGCCTACCGGGGTCATCCATGGTCTTTCCTGCCTTTATTTCATCCCTATTCTCTCTTTCGTGGAGTGGTTTTATTGTTACGCTTCAACCTTCCATTAGGCAACTGGTTGTAGTCGATGCGTTAGTCAATAGAAGTCGGAGAAATTAGTTTTTCTGATAAACTTTCTAGCGTATTAGAAATTAGGTGAGAAGATATTTGTAAACTTCTTTTTAAGACCATGCCCAGCCGACTTCCCTTGTTTGAAAATGACTGTGTTCATTCATTTGCTTCTTCTTCAAGAACACAGCACGTTAAAGACGCACGTGAGTGTAATTGGCATAGAAAAGCGGGTGCTCCCGAAAAAAACAATTTTGCTCAATTTATTTGTACATATTAGGCTCTGCATATCTCAACGTCGTCTTTGAATATCATTCAAATTATAGCCAGAGCGCTAAGATAAAGCATGAATTCGGCCCAGCTGTGTTGTCGACTAAGAGGAGTACTCCGAACTTTAAGTCTCAAAAGTACGCAGACTTGATCGGTTATCGCTAACAAGTTCGTGCGTACATCGGAGTCAATTGTGGAAGTTCAGAACCGGGGCAGCTGCTTTAATCGAACGCGCATCTAAACGCAAGTACCAAAAGAAGCAACCTTCGTAAATCCGCTGCAGAAGCAATATCTAGATTAGCTAGCTGCAAGTACTATAATGAGCGGGTTGAAACGTGTGTGCATAGTGATAACACTGGCTAACCACTCTGTTGATCACATATTAGCACAATAGGGCTAAAAAGCTCGCTTCGCTGAACTTTCTGCGTCTGCTCCACTGGTCGTGAGCGGAAAATTATCTTGTGCGTGACCGAAAAATTCATACAGATACAAAGCAAATAAATAAATATTTACGGGAATGTCATGTAGTGCAAGCAAATAAAATGAATAATAAAAATACTTCAATTCAAGTGAGAATTTAATCTGGCAAGCAGGTGTCCAGCCACACAGCCACGGTATTGCTTGAAACTGCTTTGAAAAATAATAAAAAAAACACTATACATCATTGTTATGTAGGGGAAGGAGTCTCTTTAAAGCCTGTAATATATTGCGTGGCAAAAGAGTGGAATCGCGTCAGGCGTCAAAACATGTCGATTGCACAATGAGTGGGTGTTTTGGAGGGCCACCCATTACAAAGTACTCAGACAAATAATAGTCAGTTTCAAAAGCATCCACAAAGGAAGAAGCTGCGAAGGTTCGCGTGTTGCCTTACGGACGTGTAGTGGACCATTCTTTGATTTGCAAAAGGAAGAAATAACTGCGTGGTGGACACCTATACCAACTGTCCTTGCAAAAGACATTCAAGGATTGTTTGAGACGAGCAATGTTAAGCCAACAGTCGTTTGTGTCCTTATGGTACGGTTGAGGCATGAACCAGAAACCGAAACTAAGCGTGGAACTGAGAAGGCATTGCGCACTGAACCCGATTACGCTATCGCGTTCTACTCTCGATCGTGAAGCTAGCGTGTTCTTTAGGTTTTTCTATCAGCAATGTTTGTGGACGGTAAAGGGCGCCGAACTCATCCGAGTTCAGTACCGTCTATATCTGATAAGCTCGCACTTAAGAGACTGGAGAAGCATACAGAACGAGGCCGGTGTAGAAGGGCGAATACGACACCATTTCCTTGTTGTGCAGAGAGCCGCAAAAAGCAGTAATTAAACAGCGTGACGGGGGCGTGCGCGCGCCACTAGAGGAACGAGTCACAGGGAGAAAGAGGGAAGAGGAAGAAGAGGAAGCAAATTAGAACGCTTGCGTTAGTAAGCACTGCAGCTTAGTTCCTGTTCATTTGCGGCTGTGCTCAGCAGCCGATGGCAGACGTTCAGAGCTGAGGGGGAGGGGGGAAGATGGCGACAGCAGTACGAGGCGCTAAGATGTACGAAGACAAGCGAAGAGTGGGGAAAAGGACGTTTTACGTTGCTTGCCATGGATCTCGCAGGACGCCTTCGCACGGCCTTATTTCTTTAGGACCTAATGAATTGTGCTTCTTAGTGATTCAATGTGGAACGTGGCCTAAACCAAAAATTTATCAATCTATAGCACCGGCAGTGCACGTATTCACAGTGTTGAAAATGCGTGCACGATCTCTAATATTTACCTGCGTGTTGCAGCGATAAAACATGGCGTGAAATCGCTGCTAGGGAAGAATATTGGGAACATCCATTCGTGCTTACTTGAAGTAAGATTGGAAGTTTTATGTACGCTTCACTGATTGTGCATTTTATTGATTTGAAAACTTTCAAGAGAAGGATCGCTTAATATAAGACATTTAATACGAAGTGCACAAGACCTGCAGTTTATTTTGTTCCGTTGGACAACGCGGACGATGCATAATTCCACCAAAAATGCTTAAATAAACGGAAAATATGGAACAACATTCCTTTAATGTTTGTTATTTTTTAAGGCTCTAATTGAGGCTAATGTCGATTGTGTTTTCATGTTTAAAAAATGCTCATTGTTAGATATCATTGACTAGGAGCGCTGTAACTTTTCGAATTAGTTTAGGTTGCTTTTCACCTGGTGCAGTTCTTAAATGCACACCAAAAACATCGTACTTGAATATATATTTTTTTTAATTCCGCCTCCGTCGAAATGCTCATACTGAGTGCGGTAATACAGCTCGCAACTTCGCGTTCAAAACAAAACGGTATTGTCGATACACCATTACGAGGATTAGAACTAGATTCAACTGCTTACACATATCCCTAATGAGTACAGCTTGCATAGAACGAGAGGATATTATGTAGACTCATGTCGCGCCACCATCTGCAAACCCACCAACAGTTTGAACAAGTTTAGCTAAAAACCACCCTGCTCTCCCGTTAAGATATAGAACGGCGACCACCTATGATAGCACGTAAATTTCTGGCTCAATGATTCACTCCAAGGTGTGTTGCAGACACGAGTTACCAGTTATGAGGTTTGTTCTTGTCATGCAATATGATCAATTTTGCACGCGTAAGAAAACGCCGCCCCGCTCTGCATGCATCGCATTTTAGTGCTGCCAAAGGGGTTAACTTTCTGTCACCGATCCTACGAAAATTGGAGAGGATACAATTGCTCGATGAAGGTCTAGAAGGGTGTGAGATGTCTTCCCTCTAACAAGTTTGATATAATTGTGTCATTGTGCTGCCGCAACAGGAAAGGTGCCTTGAGAAGTAAACGGATGTTGCTGCAAGAAAAAAAAAAGAGTGAGAGAGAGAGAGACAGCTGTGCACCGTAAATGTGCGCACGTCATTTTCCGGAACTTGTGGGAAGCCAGTGGAAAGGAGGAGGCCGAGTGAGCAAAGATTGACAAGTGCGGCACAAAGTCCCGAGGCGGGCAGAGAAGTGGCGCTTTTCACTTGCTCGCCGGCGAAGGAGAGGGCCGGCGGGAGGGGCTTGCGGGCGAGAGGAGCCGCCCTCGGCCGCGCGTCCGAGCGCCGCGGTCCCAGTCGGCTCGGCGTCCGCGCCGCGTGTTGGAGCGCGGGGGGGGACGCGCTTCCACTGGGGGGCACACGAGCCCCGGTCGCGTTCCTCGCCCGAGGGGGGGACACGACCATGCGACGCCTGACGGGCCGGGTCTCGCTGCTCGCGGGCCTCTGCCGTGCCGTCCCGGGCCGCGTCGACCGCTGCTGACGGCGCTCGCGCCAACACGGCCACGTCGACGGCGGCACGCATGACGCCGGACAACCCGGGCTCGAGTCCAGCCTTCTCGGAAGGTGCGTCCCCGCGGACAGGCGACTGCTGTCACGCGACCCACGCCAGCGTGTCACTCGGTGGCCTGTCACTCGGACGGTTTCCGCAATCGGAACTTTGCCACCCCGACTGACACGCAGCCTGAGGTCCGGCAGCAGGCACCTTTTGCATTCGTGTCTGCCTTGATTTGTTTTCACATTGCACCGCGGGTCTCTTATATCTGCTGCACCTCTTTGAACGCCGGCTGCTGCAACGGCTCTTTTTCCTTACATGACTTCCACTTTTTCTCAACTGTGAAAATTCAGAACTGCCATCTCATTTAGTGAGACATGTAAACTCATACTTTACAGAGCCGCAACGAAGTGCGCACGGAGCCGACGCGTGGTCACTTCTTGCCGCACTTCACGGGAAACTTTGGTTTAGAGCGCTTCAAGTTGCTCGCTCGAGATGTAATTGCTGTACTTGTAAACTGTGCTACTCAGAAGAAACTTAGTTCTTCAGTGCTTCTTATTTAATTTAGTCAATGTATTTCCAATATGCACTCACCAGAACTTAATACAGTTTTTTGGTCAAAACTCCGTAGGATTATTTTCAGAACAGGCGGTTCGCGAGGTACTTCTGAACTACCGGAACTTTGACTTTCCCGCATCAGTTTCAAGTTTTTCTGAACGCCGTTTCTGCATGAACACAGTCCTATATTTTTTTGGAGCAGCGGTATAAGCTGTAATCTGGGCAAATATTTTTACACGTGGTGGCACGCGTAGCTTTCGTGTTCTTAAGAATGTTCTGCCGTTTTTTTACGCTGACACAATTAATTAGGCCCAGCCATTGAAAGGAAAAAGAAACCCTAAATGCTCGAATTACGTTAAATTGTCATCGCACGTATGCTTAGCGACATAAGTGACTGTCCTTACACTCGTTAAGGGAGCCAGTTAGTGTATGTTTCGATCAAGTTGAGGTCATTTACATTTTAGTTGTAGAAATATTACAAATCTTTTTCGAGCAACATCTCACGAGGTTGTGCGAAGTTTACTTCTATTCTAGCTAGTATTCAAGGATCCAGTATTTTAGTCCAGTGCTTTGCAGCTGTGGAGGCTGGGTGTGCCCAACCCGAGCTAAATTTGTGCTCGCTTCTAATAAATTTTATTGTTAGTCCACATAAGGCAATTTAGCATATTATGAGACATTAGACGTCATAAGCGTTTTGTTTTTCACGTTGATTAACTCTAAAAACTCTGAAAAAAATAGTGACATCGCTAGTGAGTTTGTAAAATTTAGAAAAAAAATGTTGCCGGAAAGTATAACGCAATACTCTGCGTGTAAGAGCCTCTGAGGTCTATTCAGAAACGCCTCAGGGTGTCGTAGCTTTTCTGCAGCATAGTTAAAGGAATGATAGTTCTAAAAATCCACTTTTCAAAATATTTCTGAGAAAAAACAATAATGATGTCATTGACTTAAAATTAGCTGATTAGTTCAACACTGCAAGAAGAAAGCACTTTTCAGAAAGGTAGTGGTTTGACAACGCCTAAATGTTCTGCTATTGCTGTTGACACCCCGCCGGTGCGTGAAAAATAAGAAAGAAACAACAGACAGTGATAAAAATTTAACAGCATGTGTAATGTGACTGCAAACATATTTGGACAGCATCTTCAAAGAAAAAAAAAGAATAATACATGATTTTTACAATACTTATTGCGATCAAAGATGTTTTTGTAAAGTTGGCTTCTTTGCATAAAGGTATACATAGCGGCAAAGCACCTGTTAGGTAGCTCGTGGCACCCTGCGCAGATGCACTGAAAACGCGCTTTGCCAGTCGTTTTAGATGGCGCATTTTGAGAGGTACATCCCTTAGAATTAATACTGCTTGAGAAATAAACCCGCTAAATGTATTTCAACGCTTTTTATATCAGTGAAAATGAGTATGAATCTAAAGGTAATGTTATCAGCGTTGAGCGTGTAACAACTTCTTTTTTTTGTTGTTGCTGCAGAAGTATTTAGGGCATCTTACTCGATAATACGTAAAGCTACACTAAAAAAATCAACTGAACGAAGCACAAGACAGAAGAAAATAGCTGTGGTTTAGCGTAATTATTCGGTTTCCCGATACATACTTGTCCTATTTGTTGTTTTTTTTTTAAGTGAACGACAACAACCATTGTAATGTTGCATTCAGGGAGTGTTTCGTTGTTTTTCAGGTGAGAAATTACACCTTTAACGCTTCCAGAATTCCTCTGTTTAGTCACGGTAATGACTATATATTACGTAATGTAGAACAGAACAACAAACTTCGTCGTGAAAGATAATGACAGCAAGAGATGCAGCCTTAAAAACTCACTCCCGGGCAGAATTTAGCGATACAGGAAGTGGGGCTTTTGACGAAAATGTTCTGTGGAGGAGTGCCGTTGTGTTGCCACATCGGACCAGCTTTGCCACCAATATGCGTATCTGGCCTCAACACAAACATAACGATCGGCACTGCGACGCACAAACTCAAATAGGCACTGCTATTCGATTAATTATTTCACTCTTGCCACAGAACAACACAAACCTCAGACAAACCCCCAATAACTCCCTAGCTTACTTAGAGTTATAGTATAAAACAGACGACAATGCGAAATCGGCGCGAAATGTATTGCCATTCAACCATTTCCCAGTATACTTTCATGTTTAGTTACTGTCGTTTTGCCGCAAATGCTCGTAGGAATGCTATTTTTCACTGCCACGCTATAGACAACCCGTGACAGCTAGAAATGCGGTTCTCGGCTGATGGCTGGAAGGTCGCGGGATCGATCCCGGCCTTGACGGTCGCACTTAGACGGAGGCGAAATACTTAAGCCTCGTGTATGTTTGCAGTCGCATTTCACGTCAAAGAAGACCAATTGGTCGAAGTTTCCAGAGCCCTCCATTACCCCGTTCCTTATAACCATATCGCTTTTTTGGGGCGTAAAAGCCGAGACATTATTAATACTTAGATTTGCGGGGCTGCATTCACGCGTACAGCAAATATTTAAACAGTCGGACGGCCACTGTCTCTGAAGTTGACTTTTCACGTGCCCGTTACGTAAGGGTCACGAACCATGAAGCCAGGCTTTGAGCGGCGGGAAGCGCCACATTAGGCGCTCGCTTGCGATGCACGCATCCCGAAAGCTTGTCATGTTTGCGCTTGCATCTCAGTTCATAGTTGGCTCGCGTTCATGATGCCACCCGCTTGCGCACGGCATTCACCTACGTTAGACGCGCCATTGAATTAGCCTTTATAGCTTCCAGCTTCCACCGGAAAAGCGCATACAAAGAACAAGACGATCAGAAAATGAGAAAGTACAGCACAAAACGCACCTGGGGGTAGAGTAATACAAAAGAGCAATAAGTATTCTTTTGTTTCGAACTTTCTGTCTGCGCGAGAACATGCATACGGTGTATAGAATTCACGTGCAAGTGTATTACGAGACGGCCAAAGCGGGACACATTGCGTCAAATTCAAACAACACGGTTCAACTGTTCAGAAACAACTGTTCAGTTTCAGGTGGGTGGTGTCACAACTTACGAGCAGTGGGCCATGCTATATATGAAGCAGGAGATACGCGGTGGGGAAAGCAAACTATCGAGTCGCCCGGTGGGTGTTTGTGCCGTGAGGCTTTGCTTTTTAGGGTTTCCAAATGCACAGATGACCACATCTTCAGTCCAAGCTATTTAAAGGAACACTGAGCTTACCTTTAGGCTGCTGAAGCGGGTGGCACTACAAATATAGTAACGCAGGCTGCATACGAAGTTCATCCAATCACGTGTCTTAGCTTAACAAACGGACGGCGCAGTGGGTATGTTGAAAGCAAATGAATTAAAATCAGTGGACTAGTCAGGAATTCTGAAAGTAATTACCTCACTCCTAAAGAGCACGTAAAACCGGCTGTTTGCCTTGATGGAAGATGGTAAAGCAGCCAGGAGTAAGATTAACGACAAAAACGTGTCTTTTCAATCAAACAAGAAGCGGAGCTGTCGAAAGTGGAATAGAAAATAAGTGCATTTAATTTTAAGGAGCCTCTTTGCTGTTCCCGCCGAGAAACAAAGGAAAAAAAAAGAGAGGAAACAGTAGGCCGCATAGACAAAAGCAACCTTAAAGCATTTGTCTCTTTTTGGGGGCATTGTTAAGTCAATCGCAAGAAGCGAATTCGAGCCGCCCAGGGACGCTTTGGTCGGAAGCACCTTCCGCAGAGCAGCAGCTTTCACTGTGTGCCTCATCATAAAAGAAACGACAAATGAGACGGAAGAGAAAGATCAACGACCTTTGTTCAGAAACTACCGTATCATGCTGTTGACAAATGGAAGCACATTATTATTGTATCTTTCTGTTTTTTCGCCTACATTGAAGCAAAGACAAGTTAAAAGATGCAAGTTTCAGTGAAATGATATCGGCAGAGAAGAGCACTTGCGTAAATGTATTCGTGAGGTTCGGTGCGTTTGACGGGGACGGATAGCGAGTCTTCCCTCACCTTCTCTTGTACGAAAGCACGACGGGAAAACGAAGGTGCCGGCGTGAACCTTAGCTCTTGGGAAATCGTCGAGCTTGCGCTGTCACTTAGGGCAGTCTATGGTTGGTGTTGGCCGAACTGGTGCTAGACAGTGAAAGTAAATCCTGTTTATCCAGAACGCCACAGCCCGGAACCCGATTCAGCACCAGCTGAAACTTTTCTTTTTCAAACGCACCAATCTTGTAGAAATAACTAATTCCTGCTCAGTACGTCCAATGCACATTCGCACACCACCGAACGTGACAAGGGCTCATTGTATGTAATAGACGAAACCCCGTTTTACGCTTGACGATACAAATGCGATTTACGGCTAAAAATAAGCCGTATATCGATAAAAAAATAAAAAGAAACATTTTCGTAGATCTGATTACTTGAAATTCTATCCAGACGGAAATGCGGGAAAACGTAACGCATACTTGCTTGAAGGCTAGAACAAGCACCTCGTGAAGATAGTTGGTTATATTGGATTTATTGGGAGATAGTCAGTTGGGGAGGATGAGAGAGCGTCAGCTGCGCTGTGCGTCGCTTCTGTGCCAGAGTTTCTATAGAATGAATAAATACACATTTTTTTTTCTTCAACGATAGAAACAACGTTACACCAAGCGCGAATTCGGCATCACCTTATTTAGACGAAGTGATACGTTCATTAGACACGAAGAGCGACTGCTCCGTCGTTGCCGGTTGGTATAGTGTAATTCGACGCTCTTTAGAATACAAACGCTTGAGCGTTCCTAATGTGACCCTACTCAGTGACTATTTTGATTCCTCCACTGTTGAGCTCATTCACATCACCGAAAAAATGACTCTAAGGCAACCCCAGGCCAGCGATATACGCAGTTGCTCATTGCCGTGTGATCACCGTATACTGAAAATCTGCTGGGGGTATCTTGCTCCGTAAATCTATAACAATAGAAGTGCCTTTTCTTAATATATAGATTTTTGGTAGCATAAAAACCACCCAACTTCGTCGAAAGCCTGAAATGGTTTTAACGCTTCGAAAATTTCACCACACCCATATATCTCTATATCCTTATTTATGCCAATACGGGTAGAATAGCTTCGTTCGTTGGGGAGTTCGCCTCCTTCGAACTTGTTATCCCTTTTTTCATGACTGCGTTTGCTATAATGCCAGCGTAAGCAAGAAATGTTAGCGTAGACACGTAAATTATCCTGAAAACGTGTAGTGATGTGAAAAACGGGACGCTTACGAGTTCTAATACTCAGGTTTAAACTTTTTTGCCCACAGAAGTGTACACGTGACGCAGCCATTTCATTGGAAAAGTGAAATTTAGGACAAATCAAATGAAGTGGTATCTGGCCAGTCACAAAAAAAACGACGCGAAAATTATAAACGCGAACACGTTTTCTTTGTGAGTACAACACCTACAATGTCAACCACTGCCAAAACATCGCCGATTGGTGAATCATGCTGGCGCCATTTTCCGAAAAGTTTTTGGCTTCCCGTATGACGTTACGATAACTTCGATAATTAAACACGTGAGCAGTACACCGAGTTAAACGAATGCACAGCACACTACTGTAGCAAAATAAGAGCAAAGGTTGGGAGATAAAGCAAGGAGTTCGCACCATTAGTATGAGTCAAGCCACGATAAAGAGGCGTACAGGCAAAGGGGTGGGGTGGGCGCTGCAAGGGACTTCGATAATTAAGCAAGGAAGAAAAGATGGAGGGAGCGGAGCAGACGAGTGGGGCTCACATCCGCTCGGTCCGCGGTTGAGATTGCGGAAACCAGGAACGGGAAATGTGACGTCCCTCCTGATTCCACGACAACGTTCGTTTTCCGAGAAAAAAATAAAATAAATATACAGAGGAGAAATCGTAAGGCGACTACAGAACATAAGCGACGCGGCAATGACACCGTGAAATCGAGAGAACCAAGAAGCAGGAACGGGCGGGTAGGCGGAGGCCATACATTTGCGAAACTTTTAACACTTGAGGCTGGCGTTTAAGCGCTCTAACGCAGCAAAAATGCTCTCTTTTCTCAATTTTCGTTTTGCAGCTTCATACGGAGAACATGAGCTATCGTGAACTTTTTTCGAATTCAACGTGGAAATGAGATATGTCCGGCGGAAAAAAAAAAGAGCGAAAAGATATCGGAGCTTGGAGTTTCTCGTAGAAACGTATATACCATTAGTATTTTTGCGGTTTTAAATACGAAAATGTAATAGCACATGATTCTTCTGGCCGTAGTGGCGATAAGGAAAACTAGAAGTTCATGGCTTTCGATGGTCACAGTTTGTCTTAGCCCCCCCCACTCCCCCTTCTTCCACCATCTTGACGGTGCTATGACGCTTTTTGGGCGTTGTCCACGGTGGCGCTCTTGAGGGTAGCACTACGGGTACAGAAAGGTGCTACATCGAAGCCACGCTCTCCGAAATACTATCGATAGATTTATGATATTCAGTATGAGTCCCAGCTGAACTTAGCTGAAGAGTGAAAAGAAGAACTGTACAATGTTAGTACGTAATCTACTTTTTCATTTTTGCTGCAGAGCGCACAACCGAAATAGACATATAAATGCATAAGATAGCTTTCGTTGTGGTGGTAAAGCGTCGATAAGCCAACAAAACAAAACAAAAAATGACGTTGTCCTAAATTCTAGTACTGAAGGCGCGCAATTAGAAGATGACCACAGTTAAGTTCGCATACGTGCCTGTTTCTGTATCAGCAGGCTTCACATGAGCGGTTGTGCACATTGCAGCGGAAGGTACAGATCAGTCTTCTTTTTTCGCGGAAACCGTATAGCAGCATACAGGTATTCTTGTGCCCCACAAAGAGTAATGTGCTGCTACCGATAGCTGCTGCCTGACGTAAAGCTGCAGCTTATGTGCTCATATGCAAAACACTGTAGCGACTGAGGGAGAATGATGGGAGGTAGAAAAGCCGCAATCGAAGAAAAAAAAAAGAAAATAGACCTTTGTGTACTAATATGCGAGAGGCCCGCTTGACGCCGAGTCCTCGCGGTCGGTTCCGTCGCTGGGAGAGGATACGCGCGATGGGAGCACAGTGCGTGCAGCTGTTGCGACCGTGGCTTCCGAAAATGAAATTACTTCGCACTGGTCCTGATTAAGGGATAGCGCACGGTTCGGCAAGCTCACCGCCGTTGTGCGTGCCGCCACACGTTCGTACGGAGCGCAGTGTGCCCCCCCGAACCGAAGAAGCACAAATGCTGATGTAATTGATCGGTCACATCGCGTGTGGGACGGGCAAGCAAAAGAAATCGGAGCGGTAAAGCTTGGTCCGAGGATTCATTTCTCGAACAAACAGCGTCCCGTTTGCCGTTCCGGTTCAAGGCGAACGGTTGCTAATCGAATTAATCTAATACTCGCAATCTGTAGAGCTTCCGGTGCGCACGCACGAGAAGCGGCCGGGAAATTTGTGAAACGCACGAACTAAGTTCGTGCGTAATTCCACCAGCGGACTAACACTGACTTTGTTCCGCTCAAACTTGTATATTCTGCTCGCTTTGTCGCTGCAGTCATTACTTTGGCTGCTTCCATTTTTTTAGCTCAACCACTTTATTCTTAGGAATAAATGACTTTAGAAGGATTCATTATGATTATATTGCTCAAATCAGCAACGTCACTGGGTTGGTCATATGCCATAATCGGTGCCGTTGCAAGCATATGTTCGATCGTTCAAAGCGGTGCAGCAGAAAGAAACTCTCTACTATTGTGTTGCAACATCATACACTGACTACCAGTGTGAAGCGTCTCTCTATGCTCCTGTGTGTTGGTCAGCGCGCTGGTCTGCTAAAATAAAATAGAAATAAATGTGCGATAGTTTTTAAGGGCATTGCCATTGCGCGTTACTTGAAATAGATATGTTGTGTGAGCAAGATTGTGGCTTTAGTAGTTCACCGCTAAAGGTTGGGCACAGTGGGTTCAATGATACTAACAGTGACGACATGGTGATGGCAAGCCAACGTTTTAAAAACGTTGAGGCAAGCAAATTTACATTCAGCGAATAAATGGCCCAACAGCGCGAAACAAATGGAACCACAAAATGCAGCCAGCACGGCGGCTGCACCACCCACTGCCGTTACCTCGTCATCTTCATTTCTCACTGCATTGTTTTTCTGTGGTGGCCAGGCGAGGAAGGAGGCGGAGGACGCAGGGTGGGTGGTGCAAGGCGGGTCTTCAAGTTCCGAAACCTGCGCAGCTTGGCCCGAACCCAACTGGGCCGAGCAGTGAACCGCGCCCGCGAACTCCGTGAGTACCCTGGCGCGCGGAAACTCGGTTCTTGTATGGCCTGAACCATGCAAAAAGGAGCGAGTCAAACGTAACTTAAGAGCCCTTAATCAAAGTTTAAACTACGTGGGATATACGCAAGCAGGCAGTTCACACGACGGCAAAAATCAGCCTTTCATGCCTGTCATTGGGGGCCAATCAAAAATAATGCCGTCCTAGTACACGGACTTCAGCCTGTGTAGTATGATGGTTTTATATTGTAAAGCACGAGTTGAACTTTTGTTCGGTTGTCGCAATGCCTGTGTTACATTCTATTTTACGGATGCATAGGAGTCGGAATGTAGCGCACAGTATAAAATGCTGAAAGATGCGCTTTGGTTACAGTAGTACGTGAAGCCGATGTTGTTGGTATGGAATCATTGAGAAATAGCGTAGGCAGCGAGACGACACAATTCAAAGATAGCGCCTGTGTCGTCACACTGGCCTCTGTCCCTGTGTGTTTTGCGCTTTTCTTCAATGCGCTTGGGTTACCGAAAAAACAATTTCATGTTGTCATGGTTGCCTTTCAGATTTCACACACACCAAAACAAACAGGCCGACTATTCGCATCTAAGAAGCCAGTTCAAATAATATTCGAACACCCTGTCTTGTGAGGCAATCTTTTACGGGTTGCGTCAGCACATCGGAAGGACACGAACACACATACTCAGAGCACAAGTGATCCTCCATCGTCACATATGCAAATATTCTCGCACACGAAGTCACCACATGTTGCCAATTTGACAGCGCTAAGGGTAGCGCTTCTTTCAATGCAAGGGTACTAATATAATACAACCTGCTGTTTTATTATACGGTTCCACAGTAATCTGACTGACAAGCTCTATAAATGGTTTCTGTGTTGCACAGAGTTAATACTTGTACGCTGTCGCAATAAAAGATTTCACGTGAAGGCTCACAACAATTGAAGGGCTGTTTCGTAGCGCTTGCGCCGGACGGCTCCTCATCGGTGGTACCTATGAGCCCTAATGTATCAGCAGTACCAATGGAGCAAGCGAGCTCCCTTACAACCTCGTGCGCCCGAAAGAATCGCTGAGCGGGCTTGAATGCGTGTACTATTGTTTTCGAAATGTAGGCATAATGATAAGTGCGCTCCAGGTACTTCTTAGAGCACACTTATAATTATGCTACTTTTTTTTTTTACTTTCACACTCTCCCAATCTTACAGCAAGCCTCCTCCGAGTCTGCAGAACCACACCCGCCTGTGTCAAATAAATGACAACTGGTAACACTGATTGGTTTTCAGAATGCATCAAATAAAAAGAAGTTACGGGGATTTTTAGTGTTTACAGGACTCGCATAGGCGGTCACAACCTTGTTGATTGGCTGGAATTGCACAATGCCAGTGTGCGTGTGTGGCACCCATGTGTTGGCTTTAGAAAGCTCGGTGGGTTACGACTACTGCCAGTGGCAGTAGCACTTCCTTTCAGACGGCAAGCTGACGGAGACAAAAGGCCACCGGAGTGGAACGCTTCACCGTTACTTTGTTATTTGGCTGGTTGACTGCTGTGTGAAAGTGTAATCTACGCAGTGGAAATACAAGTTCCTGTCACAGTGCCCCCCATATGTTGAGCCTTCAGTCTATGCTATAAGCTGCGCGTTCAAAGCTCAGTTTTGTGCACGGGGAGATCGTGCTAGTTGACAAGAGGGTCGTAAATCCAGATAGTTAAAACAACAAGAACAATAACAAGACACAAGACAGCCCCAGTGATCAAGGGTTTTGTGGCTTGGCACCATCCGCCTTTGCGGCTCCACTGTGGTAATTTATAATCTCATTAGCACGGTTTGTTCTAACAACAAGAACATTACTATGAAACATATCTGTAGTAAAATTAACCGAAAACACGCTGCCAGTTTAGGTGATACTTGTCGCACGCACTCAGATTCGTCTAGTTTTTTTTTCCTTCTTTGAAACTATCGCTGATGTCTTTATAATGGTGTTATCAGGAAGCCAGACCCGCGGGCCGGGTATGTTTATGTCAAGTCATTTATTCATTTATTTTTATTCATCGTTTCAGGCTTCTTTGCCACTACTTACACGCTTAGCATAGAATGGTAGCGGTCCTCGAAAGAGACAGATTTTGTCCCAAGGGGTACACAAAACTGGCGCGTTCTTCGGGTCGTTGTTAGGCACCTTAAAATCCGCTTATTTTTTATACGAGTCGTATAGACTGATATCGACGTTGTATTGGCCTTTAAAAGCAATACTGGCCGTTACAGGTGATTGAATCTCATTTGCGGTTTTGACACCGCCTTTTTGTCGAGTATACTCATGAACATGTTCATAACGACACATTGTAAAGACAGCTTGCTGACGCTGATAGCCGACAAGCTTCTCCACTTAAAGGTGCCGGTATATTGCTAGACGTTATGGCAACAGCGCGCAACCTGTGTTTTGTGAGATGATTTATGCACGCTCGTCCAACCATTCGTGGCCTCTCCTGGCTTCACTGCGGATCATTTAAGCACCACCTTCGTCGTTTCGAGACGCGCCTTTGCTTGTTTCGTCTTCTCTAATTACTATCGCCACCACTATGAGTAGATGCTTAATTTGGAGATAAAGTATTTTGTAACCCATTGGATCTGTGCCAACAGAAGGACGTTGTGCGAGTGCATGCAGTGTGAGCGTAAAAAAAAAAGAAAAGCGCGCCCGAAAAGAGGAAAAGCAGAATGTGAAACAAGCCAGTATCAGCGGAGAAAATTCGTTTCGACATCGAACCGCGAGGCTGGGCGAAAGAGAATATTAAAAACAATGTAATAAAAGACGCAGCCACTATTCACTCGGCATCTGGAAAACATGTCGAGCAGTTTAGTGAGAAAAACGTCAGTTGGTTAATGCGACGCCACACCATGAAGAGGCATACCTTTTGGCATTGAGGTGATCCGTACACGGTATACACAGTTTGATCCATGAGTCAACGTGGATGGACTTGATGAAAACGAGCAAGTCCATGCATCGAGAATGGGCGTTCAGCTGCTGGTGATCGAGAGAAATCCAGCCAGAGCTCCAGTTCTCAAAAGAGAAGCCAAATTGAATCGACCGCTTACAGGAGTAGATTGCTTGGCTTCGTTGCCAAAGCCATTTTCAATAAAGCAATGTCCGGCTTGTCAATAAATTAGTACATCAAATTTCTAGTCATGTAATGGTGGCGACGTTATTCAAGGTCTAGGACGAGCTCTTCATTGAATATACGACACGTTGCAGTTTGTATGACCTTCCTCGTCATCATTATAATCATCATAGTCTCACTACGCCCACTGCAGGGCAAAGACTTCTTTAGGCTCTGCCAATCAATTAGGTCCTGTGCTGTCGTTATAGCTGCGAACGTCTTAATCTAATCTGCCCAACTAATTTCTGTTTCCTTCTTACGCGTTTGCCTTATCTTCGAATTTAGTCAGCTACCTTTAATGACTTGCAGTTTTCCTGCCTAAGCGCTACGTGCCCGGCCCATGTTCATATCTTCTTCTTGATTGTATGGCTTTGGAACCACATAAAGTGAACTTTGTTCAGGTGGCTCCTGACATCAATGCAAGCGCAGTGCTGAGCGGAGGAACTTTCCTGCTATATAATATGATGCACTGATGTAAGATTTGTTCAACTTTACTTCAGCCGACATTTCTGCCATTCTGCAAGAGGTAAATTTATTTTCACTGTCTTATAAGGAAAGCGAATGAAGTGTCACTCCGTGAACGTTGGTGCCGCTCCAGAGAACGGGTGCTATCCTTTTTGGGCGTTCTTCATATACTGTCTCTTCAGGTTAACTAGGACAGCTTTTCGTCCTAAATATTTTGAGGGAGTGCACGGGGCTCGGTTTCATTTTCCACGATCCCGCTCACCGTCAGCTGCTGACTGTTGTACTGATCGCTATTTTCATAACTCTTTCAAATATGCATAAGCGGTCTCCGGGATGATATAACCGCTCCACGCCGAGTTGAGCTTGCGAATTATCGTTGTACCCACGACGCCTTATTTCACTATTTCGCGAAGTAGTGAAGTTCGCACTACCCGCCCATAAGCCAATGCGCACACCTATGAAGCTGTGCTTTCAATTATGCTATTGTTGCTGATGATTACGAACTACGGCTGAGCCTTTCCGTAATCGGTAGGAAGCTTGCAACCGACTACTTGTTGCGCTATTCCCACGCAGTGGCGCCTAGTGTGATTCCGCCCCTCTTCCACGCAGTATATGATCATTTAAACGTGGCTCCCCATCTGACATTTCTGCTGATTTGTGTTCTTTCCTGAAGCTCTTACAAGTAATGATGCGGCTCTGTGATATATGCCACTTGATTGCCGCGTCGGATGCCTGGGTCTGATATACAGAGCGACTAATTCTGTAAAGTTTATTTTTTTAACGATGTCGTCGCTATGCGTGGACACACTCCACGACACCGATTTCACAGATGGGGCGTGTACACTTGTGCGTAAAACTCAAGCTGTGATTGACTGTAGCTGCAGAGACATAGGTCTGAAGGAAATACAAGGAGATTACGGAGTTGGCTATTACTTCCCAGAAGAAAAAAAAAACAGGGAAAGAACGATGTTGACTTTCGGAGGAAAATCTGTGGAAACCTATTGTTGAGTGCTCTGCATGTCCTAAAGTTAGAAAGGTCCGCAACACTTAAATGATGCGGCAAGCTCGACAAAACCTTGTGAATGAGCACAAAAATCGATTGTCTGCCAGGAGCAACACTGTGCTACAGCTAAAGAATATGGGCGCAAGGACGCAATCAGTGAGAAATTTGAATTTAAAATAAACCGTCTAAAAGGGTAGGTAAGAAGATAAAACAATCAACAATCAACGATAGACATAGAAAAACACGCAACAACAAAAAACAACTTCAATTTGATTACCGGGTGCTCAGACGGTAAAGGAATAGTTTACGTATTGCATGCAGACAACGTACAAAATCGGGAATATACTATAATGTTAGAACAAAATAACTACATAATTAGAATTAGC